GCTTTATTCAGGCCCACAATCCTTAGTTTCACTGCTGCGTCTTCTTTGAGCTGCGTTTGCGACACACTCGCACCTAAATCACCACCCAGAGACGATAACGTCACTTCCCGATTGTTCTGCTCAAACAGCCATCCATAAGTCACTTTGTCTTCCGGCACGGGCTCCATCGTAGTCTTGTCTAAAAAAGGGACATCAGTAAGAAGTTGGCCAATTAGAGGCAAAATTAGGAAAGGTAATTTGAAAGAGAGTACTTAGGCGTCGATCGTAATAGCACTCAACTGAGCCTTACCCTTTGCAGAACAAGTGAGCTCCGCCACGTCCTCAGCAGCCGCGGAGAGTGCCCCATTTTGGATATCACCGGCCACCTCAACCACGTATTTGTCTTCAACTGTAAGGCAAGTAAATTTGCATTTCGTATCAATATAGACTGCATGCGACAATTGACATAAATTTTATCAAAATGTTCAGGTAAATAAGCCAATCTGCGCCAAGGTTTTTTTATATTTTGACTTAGTGAGTTGAGAAAGTTGATCGGTAAAAAAAGTTGAAGCATATCACTCCACCATAATGCTCTTTCAAAGGAAGAGACTCACCTGTAGTGCCCAAAAGAGGATGTTTCACTTCTTCGCCAACACGAATCTTGAAGGGGAATGACTGGTAGAACCGAAGTTTGTCGGAACTAAAGACTACACATCGACCTTCCAGAGCCTCCGAGGCAGAACGTCCGGTCGTTGGACGGAGGTAGTTTAGTTTGAGTTTATTCCCTGTTCTCTCAATGTCCTGCGCAATATCATGCGGATTTATCTTTCGTCCACTTGCGTCACTGATCTGCCAGGCCACATCGACATTCGGCTCTGGCGCACGGGTGCGCGAATCTATGTAAAGTCGGCGCAAACAGTTATTTCCGTGAAGAAAAAGGCTAACCATCCCCGGACTGAGATAACATAAAGCAAGTAGCTGAAATGATTTTACCTCTGTAACGGCTAAAATATCTCTATTTAAGTCAATATTATTGGCCGAAAAACCAATGACAAAATGCAAGCAGATGTTTCTTAACCAACCGCCCCTGAGGGCAGTATACCGAGCTGAAATGCCAAGTTATAAGACAATTTCTTCAAATTGAGTTCTTGTAAGGCATCGCAAGTCGTTGTTAAGGGTAAGATAGCTTTGAGCTTACCGACAGCCTCACAACTTAGTTCCACCACGTCTCCAGGTTGTGCTTTCAGCACGCCGGAAGCGTCAAGCCCGCTGACAACGACCTCCAGCTGGGTACCTGCTCCTATTAGGGGAAAATGGATATCCTTTTATTACAGAAAAAGTGCATTCGAAGTTGGCGGGAAGCATACAGACTAGCCATCTGCAGCAACTTACGGTCGTCCGGCAGAATAGGCAGTCTTGGCTCTTTCACGTCCCTCACAATGGCAGCAAAATACTTGGAAGGATATTTTAGTCTTTTCACTATGGTCTCCTCTCCGGCTCCGGTGGGTTCAGTTACAAATGCAATCGCGACGCAACGACCGCTAAGGGCTCGGTATTCGCCCTTCTTTGAGTTGGCCTTCAGTCCGGAGAGCTCAAGTTTACCGTCCGTGGGGGAAGATATACGAACAGATTCTGCCACCGCATTGGGCGAAACACTTGCTCCATGAGCATCAACAAACTCCCAACCGAGACTTAGCACCTGAACACCTTCACCAGAGACTGTTAACACAGAAGAGTGGGAAGGGAGTGGGAATTAGGTCTGAGCAAACCTTTAGTGACCATAGTTGCATTTTCCTCGAAATATTTGGTAAGAAGAAAATTTGACAGGCTACGCAACCTGAAAAGATTACTGAATAATCCTAACTTACACTAAGCTCTGTACTCCATTATTTACCCTATACTGCAAATAAAGTTAGAAAAACTCCCAGTCAGTACCAACGAAAGTAACATTTTGTGTTGTCTTTCAGGGTGTATACGTGTAGCCAAATTATCGTAAGCAATCCAACGTAAATCGCATTCCTACCTCAGTTACTCCTAACGTGATTTTGAGCAGCACGAAAACCAGGGGTTAGAAGAAAATCTGCGCTCCGATAAGGTTTTCAAAAAGATACAAAAAATGCAAACGGTTATCTATCTATTTAAGTGTCCCTGCTGCTACAAAAGCCGTGCATATATGTCCATTGATCACAAACGTGTAGGCGTGTTCGTGCAGTTGCCTACCTTCCGCGTTGCATTGCAAACTAGCATCACTGCCGACCATGCTGGCCAGATTTCCTTCAGAGTCTAGTCCAGAAATTGAAACCTTGACACGAGTATCCGTATCTGAAAAGGGCATAAGATAGGATACATTTGAGGGCACTGTGGACGAATCAGGCTGGATGGCTAATGTCACCGGGGTTTCTTTAAAGACACTTTTTTGTGTCTGTTTTGCTATAAAGAAGAGTACCTGGCGCAGTTTCGATTATAACCGGCTTTTCTTCATCCATTGCAGAAGATTCCGGTATAACTTGCCAACGGAAGAGCGGTGAGGAAAATTCATCCTTATTCTCAGGATCCACTAGCACACATCTGCCTGTGGCTTCGATTTCTTTCACTCCAACCACTTTGAGGGAGTTGCCATCTAGAATCACCTCACCAGTTGCGATCTGGGAGCTGTCCAGAAAGTCCCCGTTGGGTCGTCGCAATTCCCACCGATAGTCGATGTTGGTAAGCTCCTCCCCTGTCTTCATGTCTGAAGGCGTGATAACAAGAGAAGATAGTGACTCTTCTAACAGAAATTGCCTAAGCGGCCTAGTAGCAGCATATTTTTCCTGCCGTGTACACGAACATATCAGTCGGAATTAGAGGTTCTGTAAGAGCAATTCGTTTTGATCCCTTCCGAAAAACAAGAGCAGAATGTAGCAGTTTTAACCAAGCATTAATGTTGTGATAGGAATGAAAGCCAAGTACCATTAAGTACACTGAGGGCAGACGACATAACGCTATAACAGTACACTGATTTACTGTGCTAGATGGTTTACAGAACCCAGAACCTTGGGTTAGTAAAAGTTAAAGAACTTGGTAAATACACAAGAAGCATTAAACGATGCTTGGAAAATTAAGTGGAGAAACAATAAGCTTGCAAAGTATACTATTAGTATAATGAGGTGATGACTGCAGAAAACTGAAAGGAACCTCACCATGAGCGGAACATTTTAATTCAGCAGTTTCTCCGGCTGTTGTGACGAAGCTGTTATTCTTTTCCAGGCCAGTCACCTTGACCCAGAGTCTTGGGCGTGGTAGAGGACCTAAAACAATTGAACATGCTAGTAATCCTATTATCAGTAAAAGATAAGTTTTCAAACGCTAATGGGGAATATATACGGTCGGAAAAATAAATAAATTATCTGTAAACGCAGATTTGGCGGTAAGGATGACTTGTATGGCCACCTAAATAGGACACGTGAATAGGAAAATCCCGTTCCACTTTAAAATAGGCAGCCTTTCAAAGGGTGGGTGAATATACCTGGGTCTTAACCCTAACCCTAATATAAAGAGAAACTGTAACCCAAACCCTAGCTCTACTATAAGCCTAAACCCCACAATTAACACTAACCCAAACCGTAATCCTTAACATAATCCTAAACCTAACCCCAACTCTGACCTTAACCCTAAATTAATCCTTACCCCACCCTACTTCGGGTGTGATCATCGCTTCAACGGGACACGGGAGTGAAGTGGTCGCTATGGCTCACAACAAACGGGCTCGGTAACTCATTTTAAGGTTTACGCTCTAGCGAGATCAGCAGCTACCGCCATGTTAATCTAGACGTTCATTCGGAAGGTTTGGGTGCATGGCTCACTGAATTGCGCCCACGTACTATCAACGATCGCTTATCCATGTTTGGTCCTAAAGGATCTCACTGTCTCACCAAAACCTCGTTCACACATAGAGAATCTCAACTGAAACTTCAAAGAATTCTAACATAGATGCACTGAACCCTGCCTCATCCCGCCATCGAGCGCTAATCGTGCCATCTGCGAACGTACTGGCTCGCCATTCCCTTTGCCTCCAAAATGGGGAACCGCCATAATTCCCCCATCCTCCTCCCCCACATCAAAACCCACCATAACTGTGGACCCACTCCTTGTAGACACTAGTTGCTGCCTTGCCTGCCGCGCCAACCCAGCTCATCTGTTCGTTTCGTTTGACGATAAAATTCGTGAAAAGTCACGAAAAGTGGTTCGAAATAAGTAACCTTGCCAGGCACTGGAAAAAAATTTGCGTCCAGCTTCTGAACAAAGGACTTTTGGTAAACCACTCTGGTTTCAAATAGAGACAGGTCAAAAATCAATTATTAGCAGCCTTACGCGGCTCAGCTAAAAAACAAACAGACAAATATCTGGGGACTTAACGTACTCGGTACTTCAGGAATGCCTCCTTCCTCGTCAATCCGTCGGACATAGTAGTAAGGCGATGTATACACTACGCCATCCTTTGTGACGCGACAACGGATGCTGGTTTGCATTCGAGGATCATCCATACTCTTTGATGAACCAGTTATTGACAACACACCGTCAGCTTCTTCTCGGAGATTTCCGAACCGGGCGTCGTCTGTTACATCATGGTGATAGGGTAGGTTTGTACCTCGGGACCCTCTATAGTCCCATGCATAGCTCACATCTTCCACAGTATTTCCGATAGATGTGTCTGTGAAGGGGAAAAGGTTGAATTACAAGCAAAAAGTCTTTCTAGAAAGTGTGCGTGACTGAAATACATTTGTAGCATGAAAGGTTTTAATCACTTTTCGCCAATTTTGTGAGACAAAACGACAATACTCAAGAGCCAATTAGCCTAATTATTGAAAAATTACATTTGTTTATTGTTGCTATTATTCAAGCATCAGAAATCTTGAAGGTAGCACTTTTACTCCGTTCACCACCATCACCTCCGCAGTGTAATGAGCTAAGTAGTCATTCGGGTGGATTCTAGATTGCTGCTTAGGAAATCCTGCCTGGGCATTCAGCTTACTGTATCCGTACTGGTGGATTCCATACGAGCAGTAGGCTGGGTGGGTAAGTAAACCCAAGTGTAATTACATTCAAAGCTTCGACGTGCCTCCCTAGCTTAACGGTAGAGCGTTGGCTGTACAAAAGCCCTCCTTGCTGTATGGGTTGGAATCCCACCGAGGCCGCAAATTTCTCACAGTTGGGTTAATTTAATTATTCAAATCTGTCAACACCCCCCTAATAATGTCATTTACGTTTATACTTTATACGACGGTGGGTTCCTAACACAATATGAATTGAGAAGAAGAAGAAGATTCGACCGCTGGGAAACCATTTTATTCGCCTGACGTTTCGACCATTGTTGGGGATTCATCATCAGAGACGTGAGCAGAATATATTGGTAGAAACAGTTTCTACAGCATGAATTCACGACCCGGTCTGAGCCCTGGACCGAAATAAAAAGAGCGCCGTTTTTCCAAATCCGTTGTCGACATTTCCTTGAATATGTTTAGCGGATGGTAGCAAGGCCGAAATTATTATTTATTCAGCAGACTCCTTTCTTTCTCGTAATTCTTGCCGTGTTCTGTTCGCGCACAAGTAAACTGTAATACACTTTCGTCCCCCCCCGGCCCAGTGGCATACACATGTGGGTTTTCGACTTACCAGTGGCAATGCATTTGAATTTTGTAGTTTCCGCTGGTATTACTACAATACTTTGCGTTTGAGGATCAATGCCCTCAACGTGCACCTTGATTCGGCCGTCTCCTATAAATATAAAAATAGGTTAGAAAAGTTTTTCTTTGAATAGAACCAAAGAATATGCAGAAGGATGTTCGAGATTTATTTTGCCTAATAACAAACGCAATGTTTTGCATCCTTGCGACTTATAGCTGTCGTGTAGCCCAGTAGATTTTGTGGTATGGTGAAACAAAAAATTACTATACTTCAGTCTATTTACATCTGAACAGTGCATCACTTGATGTGGAAAAATTTGAGGATTGGTTGTAAACAGTATATGCGGACCTCCGCAATACAGGGCAATGAATGCACGGTTGCGGATAAAATATATCTGCCAAGAGCGACTGCAATCAAAGCACCTCTTAAGACGGGAGAAGGGTGCTTTTCCCTGGTTCCTATGGTCTGTTTACTGCATTTGGTATATATAAACTAGCTTATCTTTTTCTGAGATGAAGATGGGATGTAGGTTAGAACAATGAGTCATGATAAAGTCTATCTTATAGGGTTTTCTAGGATTACTGCCCTAATTTAGTGAAGCAGAAAACAGACTTCCGTGATTATGGTGTCTAAAGGGAGAGCCTTCGGGTAATAACCACTTGTTAGCTAATTTTCCTTGAAGTTCTCCTCCAAGTGGAATGTGCCGACTAAAGTAAAGTTTGTATTTTGCCCAGCCACCCTTATTTGCCTTAGTATCCCTATTTTTGGCAGACTCATGTCCTAGAGGTTGTAGGCGTCGATCATACAACATAACAGTATACAAACACAAACCAGCATCCTCATCAGCGGTCCCCTTCGGCATGAAGTTGAGAAGGAAGTAGGGAGAGGTGTAGAGTTGACCGTTCCGTATTGCCTCGCATCTGGCTTGGGAGCCGTCTAATTCTTCATCAAACAAGTGTGCGTGCTGAATCGCCAGACGGGATCCACTAACCACCACTGAGCGCGCCACTTCGCCTCTGGAGAGTGGTAGACCGGAAGGCTTCTGGAAACTCCAGTCGAATACCAGTTCATCGTCGGATAACTGCCGGCCCATTTCAGTTTCTAAAAAGAGAAACAAATAAAGTTCACACAGTATGCCTACAAAATCGAGTAACTGTCATGACGAAATTTGACTCGTTAGTTTAGCATACATTTGGTCAGCTTATTTTGATCCCCTGAGTAGATTTAATCCTGCGAAAGCCTTTTAGTTAAGTTTATTAAGGGTAATGGGCATTAGGTTTGGCGAAACTGGGAGTAGTCTTATGTCGAAGGAATTTCCTATGCTATTAAGAACGACAGAACCAAACTTTTTCTTATTAATGTGCATTATGCTATGGAAGAACTCTAAAATAAGTAAAAAAGGATAAAACATATCCCTTTCATAAGCGGAACACGTAAGGTCAAGTTTAAGGAATCGCATTTATTTTCAGAAACAAGGAAAAATTTAGGTTCAAAAATTATGTTTTGCTAACGTATGAACTTCTTTCCACAAAATGCAGTAACAAAACATCTTTAGTTGCATCTTAATCGCATCATGTAGATGGAACTTAACCAAAGCTTTCCACATATGTTATCGTGATGGTAATGCAGAACAGATTTTATTAAATGTAAGTCAGTTAAAAATATGCTTTTTTCTACACTTCACTTTCCCCTTGGGCGTTATTTATAAACGGAGCAGGCAGAAGAATAATAATTATGTCAAAATATTGCTACATATGTGGCCAATCTTCTTTGCACTCGCAAGCTTAGTACAGAGCCTGGAAGTTATTCACTATGACAAAAAATAATCCAATACAAAGAGAAACGTGAGCTCTTTGATTTCCAGTCAAATTGAATCATTTATCTTCAGGTAAATTTAAAAAAACGTGATAAAGAACTCCACTATAATTTGAAAGTACCTTGGAAAAAGATAATATGCTCAGAAACTCGTCAGCTGAATATCTAATTAAAGTGCTCTTTAAAGAGGTTGTAGTGGGTCGTGCCTGGCCGACTAGCTCGCATCGAAGTGCACTTTCCCA